TGGATGGATGGATGGATGGATGGATGGATGGATGGATGGATGGATGGATGGATGGATAAGTAAAAGTCTAGATGGATAATTGAGAAGTTAGTTGAATGCATTAGTGTGTAGGTAGTATATGGGTGAGAACATGAACATGATGTATGAAAGAATGTATGTATGTATGTATGTATGTATGGATGGATGGATGGATGGATAAGTAAAAGTCTGGGTGGATAGTTGAGTAGTTAGCTGAATGCATTAGTGTGTAGGTAGTATGTGGGTGAGAACATGAACATGATGAGTAAGAAGATGGGTGGATGGATGGTTGGAAGGTTATATGATATGTGCACTAGAAGATCTAAGGGGAGCCCTGATAGTCTCATCAATCCCTAGTTCCCATTAGAGAATTTGGAAGGCAGGAGAGACTGGGATGGAAAAGGGCTCAGGTGCTGGAGCCACCCATGGGGCCATAGTACTTAGTTGTAGTGACCACGAGGGCTGAGTATCTGAGGAGCGTGCGTCCCTGGCACCAGGGAGTATTGGACTTGGATGATCTGATTAGAGGAATCATTGGAATCAGTTATCTGAAAAACAATCATTTGGGGGCAGAGAAGTAGCTTGTATGTGTACGTGGGTAAGAGAATATACTAGCTACCTCTCGCTGCATAACAGATTACCCAAAACTTAGTGTATTAAAACAACAGCATTCTGATATCACCAACTGGGTCAGGAAGTGGCACCGCTTAGCTGGGTGCTATGCACAAGGTCTGGGACAGGCTGCAGTCAAGGTATTGGCTAAGCCTGTAGTCATCTCAGGGCTCTGCTTCCGAGCTCGCTCACGTGCTTGTGGACAGCGTTCAGTTCCTCCTGTATGTTGGACCACGGGCTTCAGTTCTCTGCTCCCTGTTGGCTGGAGGCATGCCCTCTGTTCCTGGCCACGTGGGCCTCTCCATGGGGTGACTCACAGCACGGTGACCGGGCGCCATCAGAGCAGCCAGTAAGAAGAGCCAGAGAGAGTGTAAGCAAGAGCTGCAGTCTCTTATAACCTCATCTCAGAAGTGACATCTGATCACTCCTGGGGGCAGTTAAAAACAAGTCTCTAGACTAGCCCACACTCAAGGGGAGGGATTACATAAGGGCAGGAGTACCAGGGACAGGCATCATTGGAGCAGGATGGAAAATTGGATAGAAGCTTCCTGCATCTAGGCAGGAACAGTCACAGCATGAGAAAGGCACTGAGGGATAAAAGGAGCCAGGGAAGGAGAGTCTGGACGTCAAAAATTATCTAGAAAATTATCTAGAAAATGTCTGAGGGGTCAGAAAAGCTGGAAATCCAGAATGTTTTTAAGAGCAAGAGTAGTTAGTGGGGGGAGCATGTCCGGGGCTAGAGGAGGAGCTGGGCCGGGAAGAGTAGCTGGCAAGAAGGAGTAGCTGGCAAGCAGAGGTTTGAAGGTAAGAGCTAAAGAGGCAGGAGTAACCGGTGGTAGACTAGTTGGACACAGACCTGGCAGAAAGTAGGATGAGAAGAGGGAGGAGCTGGAAGCATCTGAGCTCTTACAGACCTTCAGCTTTGAGACAGATAAATTTGCAGGTGGGACAGTAGCTGCTTGTCTGTGAAGGTGCCCCAGACCCAGAGGAGGCATCATTGGCCCCTGATGGATTCTGGGTTCTGATAAAATTCCAACTGGGATCTTGCCTGCTGCTCCAGGGTTCCCTGCTCCCCCAGTCATGCCTGGGTCTCCAGGAGCCAGTTTTAGAGAGGACAACCCTTAGAGAGCTTAGTAAAAGATTATATGGGTGAGGGTGAATTGTTGAAGCTTAGCGAGCTGGGAAGCCCCTGGAGAATAGTAGATACACTTTCCTCCTGGCCACTGCCCCCACCACCGGGACTCCTGGCAGACACAGCTTCTTCCCCATCCCCTACCCATCCCCCAGCCCTGCACCAGCCTGTTCAACACATCCATGCTGTCACGCACACCAGAGCTGGGCCGGGTGCCAGTCAGACAGGCTGACATCACAGACAGGCATAGCTAGACTTGGAAGCAGCCGGGTACAATGGGGCCTGCAGAGCCACCTGCTCCCCTGGGATCCGTGGGGACAGGGTCATTCCCTGCTGGGAGCAGGTAGCTGGCTGGCTATCATTTCCAGAGAAATCTCATGAATGCCATACACCCTCACCTGTCCCTGTCCCAGCCCCAACACCTCTGAGTCTCCCCAGCCAGGCAGAACACGCCCAGCAGCCCACCCCCTAAGCCTCATCTTACAGTTCTGCTCATCCAGCAGTGCCCAGCCCAGGATGCTCTGGGGACAATCACAGTAAGGAGATAAGGGGCCTGCAGACCACGTGCTCTGACAGCCCCCACTTCTCACCTCTCTTGTTAATGAAGTCCAATAGAGAAAAACGTTTGTCTTCCCTTGGAACACAGTACACGGGATGGGCCCCTCTTTGGTTGAAGTGGGAGTGGGGTCCCAGAACCCACCGAGCTTTGCCTTCATTGGCATCCACCTCTCCCTTTCTATGCTCACAGAGTTTCCTGGGAGGCAGTGCAGCTAAGTGGTTGGGAACGTGAGCTCTAGAACCAGATGGCCTGGGTTGGAAGCCTAACTTTGCTACTTAGTGTCTGAGTAAACCTTGGGTGAGTGACTTAGCCATGGCTTCAGTTTCCATAAAGTGGAGCTAAGGGTAACCCCCCAGCTACTATGATTGTTGTGAAGAATCAGGGAGTTAATGAAAATAAAGTCCTTAGAACAAGGCCAGCACATGGAAACCTTTAACAAATGTTAGAGAAAGAGAATGCAATTTTTTTTTTAATCGGTCTGAAAACCACCATGCCATGGCAAAGAGCCAGGGGTGTCCGAATCCTGGCTTCATCCCTTACCAACTGTGTGTTTTGGGATTTCCCCTCCCAGGGCCTCAGTTTCCACAGCTGAGCCAGGGGTGGCCTTCCCTCCCTCAGAGGGTTGGAGACAGAGATTGGTGACCAGAGCCCTGTTAAGTGGGGTGTGGGGTGCTTGGCACCCCGGTGTCCTCAGTGACCATGTGCATCACCCTTCCCCTCATGGCCCAGAAATCCAAGATCTCCACCTTTGAGAAGATGTGGGCCTTCATGAGCAGCAAGCCATCGGCACTGGTGAAGAACAATGAGGAGGGTATCCAGAGGACCCTGACAGCCGACTACGCCCTGCTCATGGAGTCCACGACCATCGAGTACGTCACCCAGAGGAACTGCAACCTTACCCAGATCGGGGGCCTCATCGACTCCAAGGGCTACGGCATTGGCACGCCCATGGGTGAGCAAGGGGCTGCGGGCAGGCGGGGAGATTGGGGGACAGAGGACGGCCGGGGCCCCCACAGCCACTCATGCACACCGTTTCCTGCTCCCTCTCCCAGCTCATCCCACTGAGCCTCAAAAAGTGGCATCTCTTCAACCCAGAGACAAAGGAGTAGAGTCACAACCTTGTGAGATCAGCCTGGGCCTAAGCAGTGGAGATCTGAGGCCAACACAGAGATGGGGGGGTCAGTTCAGAAGTCATGCCTGCTCTCTCTGACCTCACCCCTACTGATGCAGCCCCAACACACAGGGCCTTCCAGGGGCTGATGGAGACAGGGACTCCTAGACAAGGCTCCCCACCCCCAATTAGGACCTTGCTCTCACCCAGACACCATACAAAGATTCAAAGAGGGGCCTTTGGGAGCTATTGGAGAGGTGAGTGAGGGTGGCCGGCGCTGTCCAGGGTGCTGGTAGGGGCACATGTGCAGGGACCGAATGCCCTTGCCAGCCAGAACCCCGCTCCCGCACTCAGGCTCCCCGTACCGGGACAAGATCACCATCGCCATCCTGCAGCTGCAGGAGGAAGACAAGCTGCACATCATGAAGGAGAAGTGGTGGAGAGGCAGTGGGTGTCCTGAGGAGGAGAACAAAGAGGCCAGTGCCCTGGGTATCCAGAAGATTGGAGGCATCTTCATCGTCCTGGCCGCCGGGCTGGTCCTATCCGTGCTGGTGGCTGTGGGCGAGTTTGTGTACAAGCTCCGCAAAACAGCAGAGCGAGAGCAGGTAAGCCTCAAGAACTGGAGCCCACGTGGGGAAGGGAGGGAGTGGGGGGCACAGGGCGTGAGCCGGGGGCCCACCTCCCAGGCACACGTGGTGTCGGAGCCCACCCTGCCTCTGCTCCAGCAGGAGGGCTGCCTGCCACACCTTTGCTCCAACTCTGAGCACACATTCCCGCCACTGTGGCTCCAGGCCAGGCCAAACCCCCTACTCTCCAGCTGGCCCATGCCACAGCTTCCACTCTGGTCTTCCTGCCTCATCTACCCCATACGCTCCCCAAACACAGCCAGTGCCCTGATTAACACTTCATTCAAACCATGCCAGTCCCCTGCACAAAACCCTCCAGGGTAATTGTTGAAGCTGGGTGACGGTTACGTGGGGGTTCATTATACAGCTCTCTCTACTTCTGCATATAGTTGGAAATTTCCATAATCAAAAGTTTAAAAAAAGAAAGGAATGTTAAGAGGTCTGGCCCAAGCATCCAGACAGTAGAACTCTACTCAACCCATCTGATTAATTCCAGTGTGGTTGAGCGGTGGTTCTGGGTCCTGGTAGCAAATTAGAATCACAGGGAGAGAGTTTTTTAAGTGCTAATGCCCTGGCCTCACGCCCAGAGACCGTTTTAATTGGTCTGTGGCAGAGCCTGGCATTGGTATCTTAAGAAAGTGTACTTACAGGGTGATTTAAATGTGCACATGAGGGCGCCTGGGTGGCTCAGTCGGTTAAGCGTCTGCCTTCGGCTCAGGTCGTGATCCTGGGGTCCTGGGATCGAGCCCCACATCAGGCTCCCTGCTCCGCGGGGAGCCTGCTTCTCCCTCTCCCTCTCCCTCTGCCTGCTGCTCCCCCTGCTTGTGCTCTCTCTCTCTCTCTCTCTGTCAAATGAATAAATAAAATCTTTTTTAAAAAATAAAAATTAAAAAGATCAATGTGCACGTGAGTCGAGGGCCACTGGGCTGGAGGGAGGGGCCTCTCACGGAGAAGGCCAAAGGGACACAGGGCCAGGAGATTGAAGGTATGTCCTATGTGGAGGGGACTGTTCAAAACAGGCACTTTTTCCATCCATCGGAAATGAAATAGGGCCCTTTGTAATAGGTAAGCCAGAGTCAGCAAAGAGTCAGCAAAGATCATTCTTGGTGTCATAGTTCTCACGGGCTTGAGGAAAGGGACACGCCTCCTGTCTCGGTGGGAGCTGTCCATGTGAACGTTTCTAGAAGGCAACTTTGCCGTGTGGACAGAGTCTTAAAATTGGCCACACATTTTTGACAGTGAATTTCTGCTTTTAGGAAGTGGCTGAGAACAGATACAGTTTTACCAACAAGGATATTCACCGAAGTGATAATGAGCGCATGAAAAATGGAGGGGAACACCCCTCTCAGGGTCCAGTAAGAAAGAAGAGTAAAAAAAAATTACAATACATTTAAAAAAGAACAACCAGATTCTTTAGGAATTGCCATTACAATTGGAATGAGCTCCACAATCCACCCAAAAGCCTACAACGAAATCTGGTCCCGTCCCACTAGTCTGACTTCCTCCTTCCCACACTTCCCTCCCTCACTCTCCTCCAGACACACTGGCCTCCTCTTCGATCCTTAATGCACCAAAAATATTTCAGCCCCAGGCCTTTTGCACATGCTCTTCCATGCCCCTGCAATGCTTTTCCTCCCTGAGTACCATATTATTGGCATGTTCTGGTCATTCAGGTTTCAGCTGAAATGCCACCTCTCAAGTAGCCATCCCCAACTGCCCCCATGCCCAATGCCTCTCTATCTCATTCCACTGCTTTATTCTCTTAATAACAGTTTGTGCTCAGAAATGCCTTATTTGTTCGCATGTTTATTACCTGTCTCTGTCACATCATAGACCATGAGCTCCCTGAGGGCTGGGACCTATCTGCCTTTTCCACGTCTGTATGCCTAACACTTAGGACAGTGCATGGCACATAGTAGGGCCTCCGTAAATATTTTCAGAATGAATAACGGCAGGTGAGGAGGGATGCCATTCTGCGTTGAGTGGGCAGACAAGGGGAAGCTCAGAGCGGAAGTGGGTAGGAGGCAGAGCCAGAATTGAGAACTCCCTCGCCCTGCACACGGCAGCTGGGTGCTCCTACTCCAGCCTCACTGCGTAAATGAGGCTGTCAAGAGCCCCCACTGCCTTCCAGACAAGCTGCAGGACAGCCTCTGGCCATGGGTCTCCTAGGAGCCCCTGCCATCATATACCAGCCGGCAAAGCTATATTTTGCTATCCCTTTCTGATACCCGTAGAGACCCAGGCCAGAAGCTGTTGCCACCCAGCTGCCCTGCAGGGAACTGCCTCCCACTAGCACACCTTGAGAAACACGCCGGACTGTCCTGGGTGGGAGCGTGGGGAGTCTGCCCTTAGTGGGAAGCCCTTCCAGGGGGAAGGTTAGTCATACATTCATCAGGTGTTTCTTAAGCCAGACCCTGGGCCAGACCTAGTGCTGGGAGCTGGGCTTACAGGAATGAAACTGACCAGTTCCTGCCCTTAGCATCTAGTGGAGAAAAATCAGATAGGTCACCTCCTCAAACTACAATGTGCATGCCCATTAGAACCTCAGTTTCCTCATCTGTGAAATGGGGACAGGATGCTACTACCTGCCCTGTCTACCTTAGTCTCCTAACAAGAACATAACGCTCTATAGGCTGCTTCACATACTAGTCATCTTGCGTGGGCAGAGGGTGGGTGGCCTAAAGGTGAGAGCAAGACAGGCAGCCTTGGCATCAGCCTTGGGAGGAAGGGGAGGAGCTGGCTGGCGTTGCAAGGCCGGGCCTCACCCATGTGCCCCTTGCCCTCCCATCCTGCCCCAGCGTTCCTTCTGCAGCACCGTAGCCGATGAGATCCGTTTCTCCCTTACCTGCCAGCGTCGGGTCAAGCACAAGCCACAGCCTCCCATGATGGTCAAGACTGACGCTGTCATCAACATGCACACATTCAATGACCGCCGGCTTCCGGGCAAGGACAGCATGGCCTGCAGCACATCATTGGCCCCCGTGTTCCCCTAGGCACAGGTGGGGTGGGGACCAAAGGCCTGGGAGCAGGGCAGAGGAAAGCAAGAAGAAGGGAAGGCACCTCCCCTGTGCCCACACTGTGCTTGGGGGCCAGAGCTGCTGCCTGCCTACTGGGCCAGGAGCCCTCTGCCTTTACCTCCTAGAAAACCAGCAGGCCCCTAGGCCAGCTGCTTGGGTCTCACTCGCCTCTCGTTTCTTCTGTGGGTTTCTAAAGCTGCCAGTCGAGACAGCCAAGGCCAAAGGAAGCACATGCCTCTCTCAGGCCAAACTCACCTGCCCCTCAACTCTCCTCAACAGTCAGAAGTTTCTACCATGGCCTTGCAGAGGCCAAAGAAAATGGGAAACAGCTTACATGTTGTCTCTCCCTCCCCCACAAGCCCAAGCCTCCTGGACCATGGCCGTGAGACCAGAGACACAAACCTTGGGCACCTTAAGGATTGTAGTGTGGCTGCCAGTGGAAGCTGAAGATGGGGCATGGCCACCCCACTTGTCTTGGGCAGAAGAAAGACTTCATCCCTTAGGGGCTTCTCATGTAGCCCTGGTCTCTTGGACTTGGCACCATGTGTGGCAGCCTTCATCTTGGCAAAATCGTAGGCAGAGAGCCCCATAGAAGAAAAGAGGAGTCTGGGGTATGGGAGAGAGGAGAACGCCCAAAGGCCGCCATTTTGAATTCTTATAGATGATGTCCCAGTGGCTCCCATTCCTCAAGGAGGTCTTCAGGAGTATAAAGTGGAGGAGTGGTCAGAGCAAATTTTCTATTTTCTGGACAGAGGATAAAGACCCCCTGAATCTGCCACAAAGGATGACCAGAGATTTGTCGATATTTGAAGCCAGAGGAATAGTGGATTCCATGGAAATCCTGTAGGCCCTTGAGCCATTGGGTCTTATTTTGCCAGTTACTGAGCTGTTTTCTAAACCCTAGTGGCATTTGAGAGCTTGGGTTCTTTGCCATCTACTCATCAACAGCTCCCTATTCCTGGCCAGTTGACCTTGACTTCCTTCTGTCACCTTGGAAGGAGAGGAAAAGCCAAGATTGAAGTGAAAGTCATCACCCCTCCTCAAAGAAGGATCCAGGTCCTACTGCACAGGATAATTTGGGGGGTAGATGGGGAAGGCCAGAGGGGCCCTAAAGAACTCTTGGCCTCCTGGACTTACCAAACCTGAAGACGTTCCCCAGAAAGGAAAATTTTCAGGGACAGGATATCAGAGCTCATAGAGGCCCCAAGGATGGGGAAAGAAAAGCTGCCTCCTGGAGAATTAACCAAAGACCCCACATAGAGACACAGGCCATCTAGGTCCCGATTTCTTGTCCAGAGCAGCTTGGACCTAGTGGGGTTTGGGGGTACAGCAAAGAAATAGTACCAGATGAGGTACCAGTGAAGGCCAGACCAGATAACCTGTGGGTTCTAGCTAGGTAGAATGGATGCTCTAGAAGTCTGTGACTAAGATTCTGGAAAAAGAATGAGACATGGAAGGGTTAGGAGCAAAGTGTCCTTAAAGAGAATACGACAGGACCAGCAGGGCTTCCCACAGCCAAGGGCAGAGGGCAGTCTTGGAGCAGCAGAGGGAAGGCCGAAGATTCTGGACAGGGACCCAGAAGACACTTGTATCCCCCTTCCACCTCTCTCCTGTTTCTGCCTGGGGAGTCTGGTTAGGGAAGAGCTACATTTAGATCTCAAGGACCTTCTCAGCTGGGGTGAAGGATAATCTCTAGCTCCCCCCCTTCCAGGGGCTCCCAAAGCAGGAGAGCGCAGTAGGCTCATGTGATAAATACCATTCCTCCTCCAAACTGTGAGCTGCAGGACCAAACCAGCTGGTTCCCATGCTCCCAGCAGCGCCAGCAGGCTGTGTGCTGGGGAGGTGGGAAAAGAGAGCTGGACGCGCAGCCTCGCCAACACACTTAATGACAGGAGAAGCCATGTTGTCGTGAGCTTGTGTGTGGGAGTGCGTGTGGATGCACATATGTGTATCTGTGTGTGTGTGAGCTCTGGGGAGCTGGGGGTCAGGAACAGATTTGGACATGAAAGAGAGTCCAAGACATGCAATAATAGAAGCCTTTGGATTCTGAGGTGTGTGCACACACGTGTGTGAATCTGGGATGAGGGAGACAAATCTGGACAAGCAGCAGAGCCCCACACACAGGAAAACAGGAGAAGCCATGTCTTACTAGGGTCCTGGGGAGTATACACATGTATACACCCATGAACGAGTGTGTATGTTTATGTGTGCATGCGTGTGTGTGTGCATGCAGGGGTGCATATTTATGCACCAATGGCAGAGGGCGGAGGACAAGAGAAAACCCACAGTGTTGCCAAATGTTTAAAAGAAGAAGCCATGTCATCGAGGGGTCCACGTGTGAGCATGTGTGCACCTGTATGTGGGGGAGTGCATCTGCAGCAGAGAGCAGGACGGAGGACAGAGCCAGAGAGCTGTGCAGTACAGGTCAGTGCATGTGTGCAAGGAGCCATGTGGCACTGGCGTTTTTTGGGGGGAAGGCATGCTCACACACGGGTGTGCAAACTCACCCCTGTGTTCCAGCTCACAGCAGGTGCAGAGATGGACAATCAGGACAGCAGGGAATCGGGGTCTGTTTGCGTATCTATTGTAGGGAGAGATCATTTGTCACAAGGCTTTGTCGAGACAGGGTTCTTTTGTGTATGACACTCCGTGAGCGAGTCATGTTCAACTGAAGTTGTACATGCACAGAGGCTGATGGCGGAGAAGGAAGTGGCATGGTTTGGGGAAGATGTTGCATCAGTGGAATGAAGATTAGTGGCAATTGGAGGCACTATTCAAATAGGGTAATCCCCCAACAGGTACTAAAATGATTTTTAGACTTCTAAATGAAAGTGGGGTGGCATGCTGCCTGACCTCCTCGCCCATCCACTCAAGCCTTATGTCCATGTGTGTGGTTCATGTTCAAACTCTGGTTGGTGTCCTTGGTTTGCTTTCGAGACCAGCCTGGTGTTCCAAGTGCAGTGGAGATTGCTTCTGCCCAAACAGGAGCTGTCTCTCTCCCCAGCAAGGGGGAAGGTGTTTGCATCCTGGCAGATCAAGAGGAATTAAAGGCTAAGTCAACCGTGCCAGCAGGTGCACACCTGAGCTGCGGGGGGTGCACAGGGGCACACCCACCACAGTGGCACCGAGGTTGGTTGTGGAACCATCAGAGTTGGTTTCAATGGAACAGAAGATGGGACTCGCCCGAGCAGGTGCTGGATTGTCCTTGTCTGACCCCACATGCCTTCCCTTAACAGAAGATCGCCCCCGCCTCTCACCCCCATCTCCCACCTGAAATGCCAGTGCCTCCTCTCAGCCGGCTCAGACTGGCCAAGTTGAGGGGCAACAGTGAGGACACCCCCACACATACACACCCCGCCAGTCACCAAGGCCCTGAGGCTTTCGGACGATGAACCTTCCTCCTCCCTCTCTCCCCTTGACCTGTTACTGGTCTCTCTGCTAAGGACAGATAAGAAAACCCTGACTGCTTGGTCACCATTGAGGTGGCCCCGCTCTGCGAGTGTCTCTCAAGAGGAATCAAGCTCTCATGGGGGGTGAGCTGACGCCGAATCTTGGAGGGGTTGGAGGGCCACCCCCCACCTCCCAGCCAAGACGGCCTCAACTAGAAGAGCACATCCTGGCCCCTCCCCAACGCACTTGCAGACAGAAGTGCTGGCTGAGGATGGGGAAGGGTCTGGCAGGGTTGGAAGAAGGTTCCACACAGGGAGAAGTCCCTGCCCTCCTTACCCTGGAGGGGAGCATGAGTCCGAGCCGGGCGCATGCTCGCTGAGCACAGAGGCTCCCTCCCAGCCTTCTTTTCCAGGGGTGCGTTGTGGATGGGTACAAGCTGCTGTTTCATCACTCAGCATGAAGCAGGGCCCTTCCCAAGCCATTCTCAGCTGTCTGCACAAACATCTGGAAATTGGCCAAACTCTGGCCCATGTCTGGACTGGTCCCGTGTGGATGGCCATCTGGAAGGGCCTCGTGGTCTGGACAAACAACTGGATGGACTTAAACGTCCGGGATGGGCCCAGCCCCGTGGCCAGATGCAAGGAATGAGCCCAATTCTGTTGACAGGACTTGAACAGACACATCTGGAAGAGTCTCCCAGACGGGACGGACACAGCTGGAACGGGCCCAACTGCATGCCACAGCAGGAGGGCCCTGCCCTGTGTCCCCATGCTAGTCTGGATCAAGCTCTCATTTTTCAGTCCTGGATTTGCCCTGGAGTTAAAATTTCAGAGCTGAGGCCATCCGTGAAGTCACAAAACTGTTTTTGGTGGAAGGCTAATGTTCTGTACAATATATATATGAATGTAAAAAGATATATATATATATATATGCTGTATATATATATATGCACAGTGTATATATGACCTGTAGTCCCATGTGTATACGCACCCCCCACCCCCGCACGTCTGCACACAGAGTGTACATAACCCAGCCAGTGTGGGTGGGGACCAGGTGAGGGATCGGGCGACAGCAGCCAAATCTGGAGTGGAGGCCACCTGGGGCAGGGGCCCTGTGGGGATGGGACACACATCAGAGCTCTGGACTGAACCATGGGGGCTGGTGGACAGGCCTTGCCCAGCTGGTGCCTCCTGGCGAAGGACAGGAGAGATCCAGGGGCCGTATCTCCATCTGAGAGCATCTGAGGCAGGACAGCACGCAGGGCCTGTGTCTAGGGAGTTATGTCATGCTGGCGCTGGGCTCCAAGACCTGTATTTGTCACAATGGCCAGGTAGGTGTCAGGCTTCCCTTGGAATATTGTAAAAGTCTGGAACATTCTAGGTGGCAGAGACCTCAGATTCTCACCCACACACAAAGCCACAGTTCACAGCTAGGGAAAATGCCTTTTTTAAAGAGAACGGCCCCAAAGGCATTGTCCGCATGCCAGTGCTATGTCCCTGTGCCCTACTTACTGGCCCTGTTGCCTGCCTTCTAGAAGACGTCCAGTCACCCTGTAGTGTGTCTCTATTTTTCTCTGGGGCCTCCAGCTACAGGGCAGCGGCTGCACTAACGCCAGCAGGCTCATCCCACTGCAGATGACCTCCCCAGGCCCATCTGACCCAGAGGCCAGCTGTTAGTGAGTGACAGAGGAGCCAGAAATGTGAAGGGCACAGTTACACCCGGGGGAAAGAGGAGAAGCCAGCAAGGCCCCTCCCGCCCTAGCACAGCCCAAGCCATCTGTCTGCCTTTCCTCCCCCGCTCCATCTCCCCCAGCAAGGGCAGTGGGCAGGGAGCACCCCCACCTTCCCTGCTGACCCCGGGGCCCTGCCCTGCCCCTCTCCTCCTGTCTTCACCACCCCAGTCCTTTAGTTAGTGGTCTGGCCCCTGTCATTGGTCAGAGCACCTCTGGAGTCTTGCAGAGGAGAGGACACCTGGAGTGAGCTTCTGTGTGGTCGACAGCCTGCCTTCTGCTTGGGCCCCGTGCATCAGGCTGGTGTGCATTTGATCTGCCTCTGGGCACCCCCTACCCCTGCCGCCAGAGCACATTTGGATCCAGCCTCCTGAGGAGGGGTCTGTCCTGGCTCCTGCGGCCCTCACACCACTGTGCTCCAATCCCCCACCCCATCTCTGCCTGGGCCTCCCTTGTCAGGGACTTGGGTTCCCAGCCCCAGGGCTGAGCCCCAGACAGTGCCATGTGAGACCCCTGGCCTGTCCCACCACCCAGACCAGAGTGCCTGGATGTCCCCCACTCCCCCTCGACATGGTTCCCACACACTGGTCTCTGGGCCATTCAGGGGATGCCCTTTGTGGACATGCAGAATTTCTATGAATATAGTTTTTTGTAAACATTTTGTAACAATTTGGGTTTCATAGTAACTGTGTTACTTGCCAATCATTCTAGGCTGATGTAAATAACTTTCCAAACAAATCTGATTATTTTCCTTTTTAAGACACTGTGATATATCAAAGTGCACAGTTTGCTGTATGAAGTAATATGGTTTTAAATTTTAAATAAAGAAATGTTTCTAGAAAACAGTGTCCGCTTAAGGTGCGTTTTCTGTTTCGCTTCTCTCTCCTTTGAACCAGAGGGGGCTGGGCAGCTGAGTCACATCTGGCTGACTGTGCCCCAGGCAGGGGACCCTGGTGATGGGCGGGTCGTGGGGGGCTCCAGCTCAGTTCCCCGATTCTCATTTCAGATATCAAGGGTGAGGCGTCTATCCTTGACATTGTCTTGACCTCTGTCTTCTCATGGGCACATCTGTCCCCAGTGCCTCATCATCCACATAGCTACCCTACCGATTGTCACATCCTATGTGACCCTGTCCTTTTGGCCACAGCTGGGGATGTCAGGTGGGTCTCTTCTCCAAGCTTGACCGATCAGAGATCTTACCTTAGCTTTTTCTAAGTAGAAATAAGGGAGCTCTAAGTCTCTTTCTCCTGGGAGCCAGAAAGTGTACACATAACCAGGGCTCAGGACAGGGCACTTTAAGCAGGAAGGGATGGAACACCAATGCTTACAAAACAGTGGAAGATATGAGGGAGCGAGGCCCAACCAGGCCTCCAGTGGCTCACAGAACTGACCCACCCAGGGAGTAGCCACCTCCAAGAGTCTTGGACAAGAGCTGTGAGGCAAAAGCACACCCCAGGGCTGCAATTCGGGGTTCAGTCTGCCTGGGTCAGGAAGCTGCTTCCACCATTACCCCCATCATGTTGCTTCTCATCACCCTGGAAGCAATCCTGCTGAAAACCTTCATGTTTCCATGACAGAGACAGCCCAAAACAGGGGCAGAAAGATGGCCTCTGCCTCTCATCTGCCTTCTAGATCTCATGCAACATTGGCTTGGTAGAGGCTAATTTGCATCCAGAAGCTTCCATGCTCCCCTATGACACCATCATAATCATAATGAGTCATAGCATTTATTGAGCCTTCCTACATGGCAGGCGCTATGCTAAACTCTTGACATACATTATCTCCTTTACTGCTTGCCTCAGAATGTGACACAGCTCACACCCAGATCTCTATGATCTTTTAGTCCAAATCTCCACCGTCATTGATTCAGTATCCCAATGTCCCCATTCTCATTCCCTGGAGAGTGACTATTATTGGACCAATTCTGGTTAGTTTGTCACCTGTGAGCCAATTAGCTGTGGCCAGTGAGAGTGAAGGATCACATAATACAATCATGGTACCCAGGCTCTTTACTTTAGGAGGATTGAGAAAACCCAAATTCCAAAGAAAGCTATGTGGGTTGAGCAGGTCTTCTAAAACATCCACCCTCTTATTCCATCAGTGCAAGTGCC